ATTGATCATTCCATTTCATGCCGTCAAACAAGTTACTGGTCAACTTACATTCTGTAGTCAAAGCCACTTGGGCAGTAAAATCAGAACGCTCCTAGAAATATTACATTGTCATAGTCAACAATCATCCCCAGGGTCAATACTCTGAATGTATCAGATCCCTTGCAATGCTGAAAACAGATAGGAAAAGAAAAAGAAAAAAAAAGAAAGATAATAATGATACTTTAAGATGCCAAAGCCAAGAACCACCAATGACCATTTGAAGAACTCACCAATAAAATTCCAAGTTCAACATGTTTGATGCCATGCATCTCTGTCCATGAGAAGTGTCTTGGAACTTAAAATGTATATTGGCATTAACATCAAGTTAAATCCATTAATCTTAGGAGTGCAACTTGGGTGGGCTCAGGTTGGAGATCTGTTAAAATCTGGACTATAAATTCTTCAAATCAGATACCCAGCTTGAACCCTTAGGTAATCTGATTCTACCAACATTAACCATAATTAGTAGGAGAAAATAGAAACTAGAAAGGTTCCTATAGACCAAGGTTAAAAGGATCATGTCGAAAAGTCTGAATGGTAAGACATTTATATACATCTTATACAGGAAACCACACTATAAAAATATGATGACTTTGATGGATGGTAAGGAAAAAATTAGTAACAAAACCGTTACAAAGAAAGAAAGAAACAAAAAGAAAATGGAAAAGGAAAAGGAACAAAAAAGAGACAGCAATAACATCAACAACGTGGATCTAAGAATCATGAGCAACCAAAACATCTCCTTACAGAGCCAAAGCAGTGTTCAAAGAAACCGGATGGCACTGGTGATGGTTGAGGCTCTGGTTTTTTGGAAGGAAGATGTTTAAAGAATGCTCTCACTGCTCCTGATACTCCATCCTCAGATTCCATAGCCTTGGCTAGTTCAACAGCCCTCTCCTTCACCTGCATTGATTGTTAATAGGTCCATTTAAGTATTTTCTTTTGCTTCCTCCATCGAAAACTTTTCTTTGCAAAAAGAGTTGAAGGATCTGCGTAAGTATGGATAGCACATAAAGAGACTAAATCTCTGAACTACAAGAACCCAGCTCCCAATCTCCACGAGTGACAGAAGGGTGGGGTCTATTGATACTAGTATCTGTATTCTCTATGCAACATGATCCCTGGTTTAGTGTGGAGCTTTGGTTCCATACCTAAACTCCTGGATTTACAGATTTGGAACTCTATTCTCATACCTTCTCACTTCAAGAGAACTCAGATAGATCTTTCTGTCCTTTTATATTTATTGATAACTGAGAGAGAATTATGCATAAACCTCTTATCCCAAGTGTCTTCTATAAAAATGAGAACTAATCTAAGCAGACCACCAATGACCRACTTCAGATTGGAAGGAATGCGCTTGGGAGCATTCACTACAAGCCATATAAATTTCCCCGATCATTTTGAATATTTGAAACACAAACTCCCATCTGACATGGATTTGACTATTACCTCAGGATCTAACATGAACTTAATTGCATCGACCAGCCTTGGAAGTGAGAACTCATCAACTGGAATAGGAGCAGGACCTACACCTCTAGCATGCACTCGTTCTCCCCAGAATGGCTGGTCTCCAAAGAAAGGTATAATAGTTGTTGGACACTGGATGCAAGGAARAACATATGATTAGCAAGCAGTGCAATGGCTCGGAACAGATATCGCAAAAGAGGAAATGAGTGGATATAGTTACCGCAGCTTTTAGACCTGCAGCTGTTGTTCCAGCACCACCATGATGTACCTGAAAACAAAATTGCATGTGAATGCCATTTCCCCATTAGGATCAAAAACTAGTATACAGAACTCAAGAATCATTACAAAATGAATAGTCAATAAATCAAAAGAAATTTATTTGATCTGAAACCAAAGATCAATTGGGATTTTGGAACTGGTTTCAGTACATTGAACACATCATAAAAAATAATGCATGTATACAAGCACTTCAAAAAATACAGACTTGCTCACCACACTTTCACATTACAAACTTAAGCAGAAAGCCATTGATCCTTGTCATGGAAGTACAACAAATATGATCCAGGAACTTCTTTAGTTTTTTAATCACTCTTATGGTTCTCTGGTTGTAGTTTCATATTTATGTTTCTCTTTTTGGTACAGAAGCTGATTATTTGCAACACCTCACTGAATATGGTTCGTAAACAATTTATAAATTTGGCTTATCCAAGCACACCATAAAAATTCTGTAATGAATTAGGCTTATCCAAGCTTATCCTTATTTTTCTAAACCTAAGTTAAATAGCCGTTTCTACAGTTGGTAGTCCAGTATCTCAATATCTTTATTTTCCAAAAAAACCTAATGGATGTACTTCAATTCTTGTTCAATAGGTGAAGTGATGTCTAGTCAATTTGATTAGGCCAGGCAACAACTCTGCCCTGGCAGGGCCACGACACATAGGGACTTCGATTTAGCATAACATCCATAACTATAAATAGAGCAATGAACTACACAAAAGGTATGAATAAATAGAATTTCAACATAGATGAAAATGAAACCAAGTTCAGAATGACAGTATTTCACATAAACTTAAAGAAATAGGAAAGAATAAAATAGCTTCAGATTTGGAAATTTCCCGGTGTTGAGATGTCTCAGAGTCAATTTGGGAGGGAAACAATGCAAGAATTATTCAAGAACAGTCACAATTAGTGGAGGATTTAATAGAGAGCATTTCAATGAGAGTAGCACATTGGTTCAAGTCAACAAAAGATTACCACGTATTCAGTTCTGAAGACATAATTAGGAGATAGAATGTAATCAATGCTTTTTTTTTCTTTTTTTCTGTTTTGATAATTGAATTTTATAAATCAAGAATATATAACCAGTACAAGTACCCCTGAGAGAAGAGTGATATGCAACCTCTCCCATCATAAAATTAGCATTAATAGCCTCGATTACAACTGAGCCCAAAATAATTGATTCCTATTCACCCCTTGTTTAGCTAGAGAATCAGCAAAGTATAGCTGTCTTCCTCACCCAATGTATACTTAGTGCTATAATTAGTGTCTGCCATATTTTTTTGATCARCAATTAGTGTTAGCCATTTGAATTTCTTAATTTCATTCCTCTAGCACCAGATCACAGACTCAAGTTCTTTCAGTGACCCCACTACCAACTTAGAAACACCTGGATTGCCTTGGCTGCTCCCATCACATACAATTTTACAAAAGCTTCCAGAGGGGGTTTCCATACTGTAATTGTTTTTGCCTTTCTAGAAGAGCTTCTTGCTACCATGGCCCAATCCTTCCAAAAGTCATCAAATGAGAATTGTGAAAAGGTGTTCATAGTTTTTAATCAGCGGATTGCCCTCGTAGACACACGTTCTTTAACCACGTCCAAGCTTCATTCCTTCTCTAGGAAAATTCTTGATTCACTTTTACCCAAATAGTCCAGATCAAAGCTGCTCTTATGCATCTCCACATGGTTCACTCCCTTTTCTTAGGTAATGTAAAAGTAGAAGGATCCAAGAGACGATTGACCTCCATTGGAAACTTCCACCTGCGCCCAAATAAAGAAAACAACCATTCCCAAAAAATTGAATTAAATTTGATCGATACTTATTCAACTATAAGAACTTTTAAGCTTATTACTGCTAGTCTTCCACTTCAGCCAAATTTCATTAAACTCCATTTTTATGGTTGCAGCCTTGACAACTCGGGATGTTCATGCAATGCAGGATATTTAGGAAGAATGAAGTCAGGTTCTTAATTTATCTACTCGGTGTCACTTGGCAATGGAACTTCAGTGCAGACTGAATTGATGTCAACTACAAGGGCTGAGACTGGAAACCTCATTGGGACTTCACAAGATTAGAAATTGAAGGGGATTCTCAAGTGGTTATTAGATTGATGAGAAAGGAGGAATCCTAGTCTTGGATGTATCTCAACTCCATCAAGAAGGCAAGTGCCAGCTTTACTTGGAAACTGCTGGCTTTCACAGTTATCTGTTTTTCTGATATTAATAAGCAAGCATTGATCTGTTTTTTTTTTTATTTAATGAAAGTAAAATATTGTATCCAGAATAGAAGATAGAACACAAAAAAAGCAGCCAAAGCCCCCTAGAGCTATAACCCTGAAAAGAAAAGACAAACAACAGAACAAACACCAAGGCTACACCAGAAACAGCATCAATATGTTTCTGATAGAGAAATACCTACTACTGTACTACGGATTGTGTTTCCTACTAAAGCATCTCTTTCTGTTAGGTTGCCCAACCAAATGAAGGCATGCAAATGCTCTAGAAAAAGTGGATGTTTCAATTACAAACAAATGATGGATTTAGTGGAGGTATGTTGGTTGTTTATTTTACACAGACTGTATTGCACCTTTCTCATCTTTTCATCACTAAACCCAATTATGTATACTTTAGAAAAAGAAATGGATCTTACCACAGCCCTGCATTGTAAGAATAGCCAGTCATGAGGACAGTTATCCAGAAGATACACAAAATCCTTTGATTCTGCCACTACAGAAAGATAATTCAGGTAAACGACACAGTACTTCTACAGGTAGAGTCTAAACTTAATTAAATAGATGAAACTGTTAAAATCATCATGGTTACATTAGAAACATTTGTGATCCACAAAATGGAAATTCAAACTTACAGTTCCCAAGACCACCCCAGCCCTTGTTAATAATGCCTCTCTGTCCAGTTTCTTCCAGTGCCTCTACAATTATTTGGGTCATCTTCTCAGGGTCTTGAACAGGCTGTTTAAAATTAGCAAAAATTAAAAAATATAGAATCCATAAAAGGATCCAATCATGCAAGGGGTAAAAGTAAAATATGAAGAAGGCAACCAAACATAAGGGAATGTAACAAGACATAACACGCCCAACATGTTAATTTTGCAAAACCTAAAATCTTTCCATATAGTTCATTTCATTTACTTGCCATGCATAATGGATTACTAAAAATGGTACACAAGTAATACTGGGAAACTGGAGGTACATGCAAAAGTGAATCTTGCCTAAATATGGGTACCATCATTTTCTGACATGTGAATGCAATATGGTGCATTGCATACATGGTAACACTTAAGAAAATGGAGGATAATTCCTATGTAGCTTCTGGGCTAATGTAAGTACATAAAAGGTAATAATTTTGAAAGTAAGATATACATCTTATGAACTTACCTACACAATGTTGTAAGTGGTACACAATATATTTTTGGATTTTGCTTAGGACTACTTCAGGGACATTACAATTTAAATTCCTGATCTTTGGACATAATTGTGTGACTTTTTTCTTTCAAATCTCACTGAGAGGAACAACATTGATGTTTGCAGAACTGCAAGAGTATGAGAAGAAGAAAAAGAGGAAAACTAAAAAGAATGGTAGACAAAATAGAATGTTCTGGCCGACCCTAATTCAATCATTAAGTAAATGATGTTAATGTTACAACAAAAGCACACAAATACCCCTGATTAGTAACCTGGCATGTTAATGACTTCAAAGCACTAATGGGTCTAATAACAAATGCCCAATAACCAATACTAATAAAAGACAAATAAAGAACACTTAATAGCCAACTCATGCTGGTCATTATCACAATATTCCCCCTCAATCTGAGCATAGATATCTGTCATGCCAGCATGCCAAGTAGTCCTTGAAAGCTCACTGATGTTAACCTCATAATGAAAATGTTGGCCAGCTGCAACTCTGAAGGAGTGTAAGGTATACACAATTCACCAAAGGCAAACAAAGGTCTGTCGACCACAGTATGTTTTGTCCTGTCATGTTGCACTGAATTGTTGTTCTCTCATATTGCACCGAATTGTTGACAATATTAATAGCAACTTTGTTATCACAGTATAGCTTGAGGAGAGTTTTTCATTCCCAACTCAGTCATTATAATCTGTAGCCACAATAGCTCCGTTACATGTGCACCATAGTTCTATACTCTACTTCCACACTAGACTTGACAACCACATTTTGTTTCTTGCTCCTCCAYGTGACAAGATTCCCTCCAACAAATGTATAGTAACCTGATGTGGATTTTGTTTTCTATAGAGCCTACCCAAATTAGCATCAACAAAGGCTTCAACTTCAAGTTTATCGTTTTTTGAACAATACCTTTCCTAGGACATGCCATCAGGTACCTAAGGATCCTCTAACATCTCTTCTTGTCTGGATTGTAGAGACTGATTTATGTCTCTTACATCTTTCCTTTTTTGGCTCTTGGGAGCACATATTTATGTTGTGTCTTTGATTGAAATCTGGTGTTGGCTTTGTGAGGTTGACTAAAGGTCTACTAGATCGACCTATCTACATCAACTTTGGRTCTCTCAGGATACTGTACTGATCAAAACAAGTTTCTTGCTTTTTCTTTTTTTTTTTTCCTGGAAAGTCGCCATCATCCAGAGTTTTCCCTCTCTCTTAATCAGCTACTTCAATCACTGTGAAACTTCAAATCTTAAGTCACCCAGGTCAGTTTTAATTAGTTCTATAATTTATTTCTGGTTAGGATTGAATTTGAGGGGTGCTTTTTTGGACTGCCATCGGTTCACAAACTTATACTGGCTGATCTGTGATTGGGTTTTGATCTCTCATTGTGGTGTGTGATTGGACACACATCTGTTATCAAGTTTTGGCTTATTTGGACCTTCATCTGCCTTTTTTTTCTCGAGTTTCTTGGTTTATTATTGCTGAAATAGCTATGGAGAAAAGGGATATTCTCGCAGTGAAGTTCAATGGGACCAACTATGCTTTTTGGAAGTTCCATTTTCAGTTCTATGTTGAGGGAAATGGTCTATGGGGGTTTGTGGATGGTTCCTCAAAGAAAACCGATGAGTCTGATTCCAAGGGGCTGAAACAATGGAAGATTGATAATGCCAGAGTTGTGTCTTGGCTTCTTGGTTCCATTGAAACTGATATTGCTATTCAAATGAGAAGTTTCAGACTTCTAGTGAGATGTTCACCTATATGGAAAAGGTGTATCAACAGTCCAACATCTCTCGTCAATATCAAATTGAGATGGAGATTTTTTCTTACAATCATGATGAGAAGAAAATACAGGAGTATTATGCTTATTATGCTGGCTTCGTGAACCTGTGGATAGAATATGAAATTGTAAGGTCAAACATTTTCAGTAGGGGTACTCCACCCACACTTGACACAGTTTTGAGAGTTCTCAGAGAAGAAACTAGGCTCATTACTCAGTCAACAATGGATCTGAAATCTGATTCTAGATTAGAGGCAACTTTTCTGATGAACAAATCCAAGCCCAAGAAGAAAATAGAGGCAGCTTTTCTGATTCTAGATTATAGTGCTATGTGTTGACAGATGTTGTTGTGCACAGGTTTAGTACCGCAGGGGTATTTCTGTAATTTTCCCATACTTTATGTTGTACGACCAGTATAATATAAATAACAACTGCTTCACTCGCCTGAAGCATTCTTTTGAGGCATTCAGTCCTCTCGCCTATCCACTCTTCTCTTCTCTCTTCCTCTCTTCCTCCTCTCTTCTCTTGCTCAACATGGTATCAGAGCAAGTTCGTCCAGGCCTGAAAATAAATTAGTTGAGGTCATTCTCCAATGCCGAGTAGGTTGCCTCTTCATCTCCTAGAAGCTGTATCCCTGATGCTCGACTTCAAGAAGGAAGAAGGTGCYGGCCTGACTGTTCAGCTTCCTAGCGCAGAAAAGAGTTCTGGTACAGAGTCTTTTCATATTCCAGCCCAGATGCTGTTTTCCTTGATTGCTCGGCTGTAGAGAGGCTGTCACCTGATGTATGAAGAGTTGGTTCTGGTTTGCAGAGAGTCTGGAGTTCAAGAAGGTACTGTCCATCTGCTGTTCGGGTGCCCTGGTATTCAACTGAAGCTGTTTTTTGTTGTTTTTCTTCTTGCACCCTTCGATGGACTGTTGATGCCCTAATAATCCGAATGTGGTGTTCTCCTCTTGTGTATCACTACTATTCGGCTACATTGTTGATGGACTGAAGTTTTTTTTTTTCCTTGACTGTTCTTGCTGTTCGGCTACATTGTTGATCTCAGTGACTGTTCGGCTACCCTGAAATTGGTGTCAGCCGATTAGGTGTGTGGTGAACTATCACCTTGTGTCTTCCTTTCTACTAAGGAGTTGTATGAAAACTGTAAAACCGTAGGTCATACAGACCTGGGTATGTACTGCATTGGAGTGTTTGTATGTTTGTTCTTTGGATTCCTACAAAAATTGTAGGTCATACAGACTAGTCCAAGTGCTGCAGCAACAATGTTTGTTCTTGGCTCTCTGTGAAACCGTAGGTCAGAAGTACCTAGTTGTATGCTGAAATAGCAAGTGCTTCTTCTTTTGTGGACTGAAGGACATAAGATCCCTTTTCTGTAACAGCTCTGTGAAGCAGTGTGCCTTGGGTGTTGTGTGTTCTTAAACCTGAAATCATGAATAGTGAAGATTCAGCCACATCTGGAATCTCCACAATGCTGAATGGAATGAGTGGGGGTGGYGACCTATCCTTCCCTATGGCTGTTGTTCCTCTTGATGGATTAAATTACCTAGAATGGTCAAGAGGGATCAAGTTATACATCACTGCAAGGGGGAAAATAGGCTATATTAATGGAAGAATCAAAGAACCACCCTCTGGGAATGCTGAATATGATAAATGGGATCAGGAGAACAGTATGGTAATGTCTTGGTTCTTGGTCTCCATGCAACCACAAATAAGAAAGAACTTCGTGTGGGCTGAAACTGCAAATGAGATCTGGGAATAAGCAAAATCCACATATTCAGAACTACGATACTATGCCAAGATCTATCAACTGCAGGCAACATCATCTACTTGTCGACAGGGGGAGAGAAGTTTATCAGTATATTACTATGACTTGACCTCTATCTGGAAGGAATTGGACCATTACCAGAATGTTGATTGGAAGTGTGATGAGGATGCCAAACTGTACAAGAAGCTTGTCTCACARCAAAGAGYGTTTGCCTTCTTGCATGGTCTAAATCCTATGTATGAGTCCATCAGAGTACAAATTCTCAGTTCTAAGGACCTTCCATCAATTTAGGAAGTCTATGCTCTTGTTCAATCTGAAGAGAGTAGAAGGAACTTGATGAACARCACTGGTGGGGATGCAATTGTGTTGGCAGCAAAAGGGGGTGTCTCTACTAGTGTGGGATCTTCTTCTAGGAGAGGGGATCTCTAGAAAAAAACAGAAGATAAGGAAAAATTGTGGTGCACTAATTGTCAGAAACCCCGACACACCAAAGATACCTATTGGGATCTCCATGGGAAACCAAAATGGGCTCAAGATCTGACTAACAAGCAAGGCTCTGATGTGAATAAAAGGTTCGGGCAGCAAGGTACAAAGAAACACCACATGGCCAACATGGTTACTCGGGAGAATCAGCCCCCCATTCCTACTGTGACTCAAACACATCTCTCTGGATCTGACCCAAGGGAAGATATTGTAAACTCCTTCCATGACCATCTAGAGCTCTATGGTAGAGCAATTCGTCAGATGGATGCTCCTCCCACAACCTCATTTGCATCAACGTCAGGTAACCTTGCCACAGTTTTCCATGTTGCTTCTCACAACCTTAACTCTCCATGGATCATTGGTTTTGGAGCGTCAAAACACATGACTGGTATGTCCTCTTACTTTCAAACCTACCACCCTCTTTCTGGAAGAGACAAGGTGAGACTAGCTGATGGATCATACACTTCCATAGCTGGTCAAGGAACTCTCTCTCTTCCTCTTGGTCTTACACTTCCT